GGGGACCTCTTCTAGGCGCCCAGGGCTATGTTGCTGGGACCTTACAGCTGCTATAAATGGGAGCCCAAAGACCCAGCATCGAATCTCCGAGCTCACCTGCTTGACTTGCTGACTACACAAACTAGAGAAAGTTACCTAACTTCTCACCTGGAAAAGGAGACTCATACTGTCTCCCATCTGTTCACTGGCCCATAGGAAGGAACTTCTGTCACATTCTAAATCTACTCTAATGTCGTGTCTCTCAGTCACATGTCGCTGTTGCGCACCAAAAAGTCAGAGGAAATGGGATCTTTTACATTCTACATAATTTTTGTTCATTCAAACTAAAATAGCCTCATGTGATTGGTGGATGCCATGTGGGACAGCACAGACTTAAGGGGTTGCCTGACCAAAGTGCAACCATTAGAAGCTATTCAAGAAGAGATCAAAGCTCACACGCAAGCATCACCTGTCACCGGTAGCAACCGCGGGCTGTGGAGCAGGAAAAAACTCCATTTCCAGGGTGTTGTGGAATATGGGATTGACAACACTGGGCCGAAGGCGGCTACGTGGCTCTCATGAGTTTTGTGCATCAAATTGCCAAGCCAATTTGTTCCTTGTCTTATCTTCATGCTGCCTCCTTCATTTCAGTTTTAATTTTGATTACCTACATGTTTTATTAAGCCTAAACTCAGTAAAAGAGACTTTCTTGTTCCCTAGAAAGTCATTTCTCCGTAAAACTTTATGTGGGGTGTGTGTGAGAGACAGAGAGAAAGAGAAGGATCGCTCTTTAGCCAAGAATCAAAGTAGCTGCTAATATCGTGAAATAGCTTATAAGAGGTAAGAATATAGTGTGTCAATTTTGGCGAGTATTTAACTAACATTTAGGTAGCATCAAACTTGGAATAACATAATACCACAGCTCATTTTTAATGGGGATATTTTCAAATATTGAGAACTAGGCCAATCAGGTCCATCAAGCATGGAGAAGTATTCTTCGTCACCACAAATGATACCTGCTTTACACTCTCCTGCGGTCTGAGCAGCAGGTGTGCCTCCCTAAAGCGCATGCGCAACAACTATTCAACTTGACCTACCCTTCTTTGGGTTTCCTCCAGCCTCCCATTATTTAAGATTCCATGAGCGTACAGAAATCAGAAATACAGCTGTGCTGATTCAGAGCTGTGTTTGCAACACTCAATAAAGGGCAGCTGTAAGGCTGTCTAGAAGCATCCCGTGCCACCACGCATGCTTCTCCACAAATTTCTATTATTCTCAGCATGTTGTGGATACCAGCCATCACCAAAATCAACAAATGAAAAAAGCAGGTGTAAGCTCCACTGTCCTTAAAGCAAGAAGGGAAAGCCTCCATTTCAATTTCCCAAGCGAAAAAGGATAAAGTTGAACAAAGGCAGGCTTTTCTAGGGATCTGGACATCTAAGACTCATTATCATCTCACTGGCCAGAGACTAGAGAGTTAAAATCCAGGTGCAGGAAGACAGCGTCAGGAAAGGGACCCTTAATCTTTGTGACATGAAAGAAACAAACTACAAGCATAAGGACCCGCTCTGATCTCCCCATCTTCCCCAGCCAGCAGCTGGTTACCAATATCGTTTCTGGGAGCAAGCTCATTGGGACACAACGCATGAAATGATCCCAACAGCTTGGCTCTGCTAGCCTTATGTAGATCTAAAGTCTAGCTACAAAGCCCCAAACCCACCGCCAGACTTGCCAATACTGTTCTCCTCCCCAGTCATCGGTGACCTGGAGGGGTATACTTGTCTTTCCACAGCCCGGTCACATTCCTGCAGAGCTGGCTGAGCTGTGCGGAGGGAGTTCATGGAGGACCATGGATGGCCGTACGGGTCTGTAGGAAATCCCTGAAAACACACCCGCAGTACATGCATTTTGCATTTTTGCTGTGCAGAGGAAGAGTCAGTCACTGCTCTGATTTGTTGTTTAAGGGGCTTTATTTGCAATGACATAACATGGGGAAAATAAATTATTTCCAAATGTTCTTCCCAGAATGGATTAAACTGATCATAGTGGCTCTATATAGCAGGCTCGCCTCTTCCAACTTAAGGAGCTTTTGTGAAGGACACCTTTATGTCGTGTTTATAAAAACCCAGATTTACTTTGGATACCTAAAATATTTTTAATTAATTAATTTGCAAAAGAGAGAGAAAGAGGCAGGTAGACAGAGGAAGCTACCATCTCCTGGCTCATTGCCCAAATGCCTGCAACAACCAGGGTTGGAGTAAGCCAGACCAGGGACGCAGAATCCAGGACAGGCCTCCCAAGCGGGCGTCAGCGACACCAATCCTTGGCCTATCGCCTGCTGCCTCTTGATTTCAGGATGTATCTTAATAGGAAGCTAGAACTGGGAACAGAGCCCTCAAACCCAGACACTCCACAAGGGGATGCAGCATTGTAAGTGACATCTTTTTTTTTTTTTAAAGTTTATTTTTTTTTAGATTTATTTTTATTATTTTTTCATTGGAAAGGCGGATATACAGAGAGGAGAGACAGAGAGGAAGATCTTCCATCCGATGATTCACTCCCCAAGTGAGCGCAATGGCCGATACTATGCCGATCCGAAGCCAAGAGCCTCTTCCGGGTCTCCCACGCGGGTGCAGGGTCCCAAAGCTTTGGGCCGTCCTGGACTGCTTTCCCAGGCCACAGGCAGGGAGCTGGAAGGGAAGTGGGGCTGCTGGGATTAGAACCGGCGCCCATATGGGATCCCGGGCGTGCGTGCAAGGCGAGGACCTTTAACCACTTGTGCCACCGCGCCGGGCCCGTAAGTGCCATCTTAACAGCTACGCCCATTGCTCATGCCTGGAAGGTTTTTAGTGAAAGAAAAACATGATGAATACACTAGAGAATTAAACAAGGGCCCAGATTAAAGCACTCGAATGTACTTCCAGTACCTCTGAAAGTATTTGAAGAAGCTCATGGAAAAAGGAATTAGCATACAAGTTTATTTTGGTGCCCAAAACTTAGTCAACACACATTTCTTTCATAAGATATATTTTTCATAAAATTTCGAAGGCTTTATGCATACACAAACTTCATGCTGAAAGATAAGATCATAGAATTTTATTTTCAGCTGTAAAATCAATAAGCGGGGGTCATCTTCTCTGGGTAATGTGCCTCTTCTTTTCCACCATTCATAAGCTAAGCTCATTTCACACAGTGACTAATGAAGCAAGGTGTGGTGCCCGCATTCTGAGTGCCAGTTCACTCTCAGATGCTCTGCTTCTTTCCCAGCTTCCTCTATGATGTAACTACGGAGGTGCCAAAGGACGACCCAGATGCTTGGGGTCCCGCTGCCCATATGAAAAGCTTAGGTGGAGTTGCACGCTCTTGATTTCAGCCTGGCCTGGCCCTGGTCACTGTAGCCATTTGGGGAATCAATTAGCAGCTGTAAGGCTTCTCCCTGACTTTCTCGCTTTCTCTGTCACTCTTTCAAATGGAATAAAAATTCAAAAGAAAAAAAAGAGGAAAGAAAATGATACAATAATGTTTGGATTATTATATGGAAAACTCAACCAGTAAATCCTTTCCTTAAACAGTCAATCTGATTTAACAAGTGTTTATTGGTCATTGGATAGGTATTAAGAGTGAAAACTGGGAGCCAATATGGAGATAGAGCAGGCGAACCCTCTGCCAGTGGCAATGCCATATCATACGTGTGCCAATCCATGTCCCAGTTGCTTCACTTCCACTCTCGCTCCTTGCTAACAATGGAAGGTTCAAGGCCTTCGGCCCCCGCAACCATGTGGGAGACATGGAGGAAGCGTTTGACTCCCAGCCTCAGACTGGCCCAGCTCTGGGTATTGGAGCCATTTGGGTAGTAAACCAGTTAGTGGCCATTTCTCTATCTCTCCCTCTATTTCTGTCACTCTGGCTTTCAAGTAAAACTAGTAAATATTTTAATTAGAAGAGTGAAAACTGGGGCAAAATATGAGGTAAATAAAACAAACCACCCAGAGACTTGGAGATGTGAGGTGTGTCCTTGCCATGTGCCTGGCAGCGTGTGAGCTGCGTCACGTGCCTGACGTCACCCCACTCCTTTTCCATGAGGGTAGAAAATCTAGCTCCCAGTGACTTAGGTCGTGTACAGATCCACCATTTTGCCCACATATCTTCCGAACAAATGCACACCTGCTAGAGCTCCAAGGCCACGTTCCAACACACTATGCCAGTGTCGAGAAGTCCCATTGCTGCAAGGGTGTTGGGTAGAGAAGACAGGACATGAGAGCTCGAAAGAACACTGGCACTAATCAACAGTATTGCTTTGCCGTGTAAGTGTGAGCTCGGTTTGGAAGACAAGGAAACTGTCGGAAGTTTCAGTAGGTCACCCAAGACCCCACTGCAAGCACATGTCAACACTGACATTGAACTCTGCGAGTTGTTACTGCCTAAACTCACCAACAAAACACCTTCTCTCCTAGACTTACAGCCTTGTAGATGCACATGTTGAGGCTACAGGTGAAAAATTCCTGCCTTTATTTTAGCACCCAGATAATTCTTCAAGAACTCCTTCCTTAGCCAGTAGACACTTTTCTAAAGTGTCTTAAAGTGAGAATATGCCAGGCCCATGAGAAAGTGTTGTGTCTCTTGAACTCGGGAACCCTGGCATTCTGGTAGAAGTCTGAGCCCTCTGCACAAGCAGCGTTCACTCGGCCACTCTCGCCAAGCAGCTGTGTTGTTACAGCAAATGTGCTTTCCCCTCCTGCTGACCCAGGGCAGCTGATGGCCCTGGCTATTAACCTGAGCTCTAGTGAGGCTGATTTTTATAATAAAGAGGAGAGTGTAAGTCTAATTAGTAACTTTCCATCCTTTTCCTCCGTAGATATCCCCCAGTCTAAGTGACCGGCTGTCGTCATACTGGTCTCTTTGCTTAAGGATAACCACAGTGCAAAGCTGTAGCTCACGTGAATCTGGGGTAGAAGCCTGCAGATCCGAACAGGCTTGCTCTGGTGTTGATGTGTCGTTGTCTCTCTTGCCCTGTTTGGCAGGTGCGTGGCACACCTGAAGTTGGTTCTGACATGGTTTTCACAGTCGAGTTCACCAATCCTTTAAAAGAAACTCTGCAAAATGTCTGGCTTTATGTGGAGGGTCCTGGAGTGATGAGGCCGAAGAAGAAGTTGTTCCGGTAAGTGCTGGGGCCGGCGATGCTGGTGGAAGATAAAAGAGGACTGTGGGAAGGCTTTGCCCTTCAGTCTTTTCCAAATGCACATTTGATCCCCAGTGGAAATCTCTGAGGAAATTTCTTCCTTGTTGGTCGTTTGTTGCTCACTCACAGACTACAGACTTAAACCCTAGGGCTGTTTCACCAGCACTCCCTTCCTCTAATTCTTAAATCCTCCTGCAGCTGAGGAATCCAAAGTGTCCACAACTCAACTGGTTTGCCCCAAGTTAAGTAGGTTAAAGAGTAGAGTCATTGTACAGACTCAGAGACTCAAAGTAATTCCAGAACCGAAAACCCAAGGTTCCAACATTTTGTCAACATATTCTCTACTCCAGCACTTCCACTGATATTTCCTGAATATCCTACTGCGTGTCAGTCAGATTATGATAAAAAAAAAAAATAAAGTCTCATTTCTTGGGTCCTATCGTTCCAACTTCAGCTCATAGGTAATGTGGCTTCAACTGGCTCTCCCTCCCTCCCAGTGTAGTTTGTCAGTGCACCTCTTCAAGTGTGACACCCAGAATGCATCCCAATCTTCAAGGTTTATTGCTTTCAATTCCACCACAGATGAGACCCTGTCAGCACCAATCACTCTAGCACATTTCCTGTAGAGTGACCTTGCAAGGCCTTCAAAGGGAGGTGGAGGACTTGGAAGAATGCCTTATTCCCAAGGATGTTAGAAATTTTCCCAGAATCCTTCAGAAAGCGAGCCGCTCTGTGACAAGTGCCAAGCCTTCACTCACGCTTGGGGTTCCTTTATTGCCTGCAGAAGGCTCTCTGGGTTTCTTTAAAACGATAGCAATCGCATTTCCAGCATCTCACTGCTTGAGAGATATGTCAATGTGGACCCAAGAAACAATGGAACACATAAGCTGAAGGCTTTCTTTTAAAGGCGAGTACAAAGCATAACAGCCAGGGGAGGCGGCAGGACAAGAAGAACTGAGTTAGACATCCATGCCAGCTGAGGGGAAAGGGCAGCAGTGACAGCACTTACCTGCGTCCGAAACAGCAGTCTCACTCACCTGCTCTCACACCTTCCCTCTGGAATCTGACGCACAGACTGCTAAGGCAAAGCAAAGCATGCTGCCTCTTCCCACTGGATTCTCAGTTATGTCACAAGCTTCATTCAAGGGTACTGTAACCACCTGCTACCTTCACTCTCAACTGTCTGGAAAATTCTGTATTGATCAAGGCAGATACGTGAGAGGGGACATGCATCATTTCATTGTGCAAGACTCACCAGTTGAGAGGCACAGGACTTCAAGTAGGTTAAATCTAACAATGATTTGAGCATTGTCAGTGTGTCAAGCTCAAGTGCGGTAAGGTGGGGCAAGAGTAGACAAGGCCAGTCTCTACACTGGCGTAAGACAGATGCCCCTTCTGCTGGTACTACCAGCTGTTACTGACAGTGCATCGTCTGTGGGAGAATGATGGGTGGGCAGCTAGCTACATTCCCTGTCTTAGTCGGCTATGGGGTGCTATAGAGATGTTTAGACAGAGCAACTTACACAGCAGGCATTTATTTCTCATATTCCTGGAGCCTGGGACATTCGACGTAAAGGTGTTGGCCAGTTGAGTTCCAGGCAAAGGCTGTCTTCCTGGCTTGCAGTCGGTCATCTTCATGTGTCCTCACAGCAGGCATAAGGGAAGAATGGTCTCCCACATTTCTTCTCCTAACAGCACAAATCCTATCCCAAAGACCCAAATCTTGTGACTTCCCAAAATACCCACCACCAAACACCATCACATTGGAGGTTAACAGATAGGGGGAGAGGGAAAAATTTGATCAAGCTCTGCTTTCTCTGCTTCCTCCTGCCTCTGACACAACTTCACAACCGACACCAGGGGCCAGTGCAGGGGCGTAGTGGATTGTTGCTTGGGCTGTGGCACCAGAATCCCATATGCGTACCAGCTTGTGTCTGGGCTGCTCCTCTTCTGCTGTAGCTCCCTGATGGGAAAGCAGTGGAGGGTGGCACAAGGCCTTGGGCCCCTGTACTCACGTGGGATGCCCGGAGGAAGCTCCAGTTTCCTGGCCCAGTTCCAGTTGTAGTGGTCATTTGGGGAATCAACCAGCAGATGGAAGAGCTTTCTCTCTGTTTCTCCTTTTGCAACTCGGCCTTTCCAACACAAAGAACTAAATCTTAAACAACAACAACCACAAAAAGAGCAGAACCAGCTAGCAACCACTACCATCTTGTCAGATAATCTGAATTCTCCCACCATTACCTCTGTTACTGAGATCTGATCCAGGAGTATCCTATTCATGCAGCTAATAGGACTCCTAGAAAGTGTGGTTGCATAAAGTCAACTGCATTCCTTTGTAGGATACAAAGGTAGGCATTCAGGGATTCACCCACTCCCACCCTGCCACTCTTACCCTGCCAGGTGGAGTGAATGAAAGGCAGAGGGGGTATCTTGACCCAGAGCAGAGACCCTGGGAGGCCAGAGCTGATGAACAGGAAATTGGAATTGAAGCCAAAGGGGGCAGCCCTGTGCGTGACTCCTCCCTCCACGGAGAGCTCATGCTATGCCCCATTTGCCTCCCACCAGTCTCAAATGCTCACGGGGTCTGTTTCCACAGACACAGCTCTTAAGTTTCTGCCCTTGACACTTAGCAAGTGCTGGGTCGTTTTCCTTCCAGACTCATTTTTTTTTTTCTAAAACAGAATCAGATTCTCTGAGTTGCTTCTAGAAGAACAATTCTCTAACTTTGTGATTGGGACTCAAAGTTTCTGAAGTAGGATAGATGCTGAGAGCCAGATCCGCAGAAGATGGGCCACAAGTCGCTTCTGTGTATTGTAATAATAATCCCATTTGCCTCGAGTGCCTCCCAGATGATAAATGGCTGAGCTATCCTGACCGCTCAGCACATTACTGAAAGTCATTTATCACCACATCTGTGCCCAGCAAACAGGATTATCCCAGCATTACTCCACCTCCCAAAAGGGGCGCACGGTCCTTGCTTCTCTCCTTGCTACGTTTTGTCTGTGGGTGCAAGAACACGCCAAGGGATCTTCAGCACGAGTGTTTTCCTAAGCTCACATCATGATGTAGATGATTTTGCAAGTAAGAGGAAAGGATGAGAAAGGAGAAGACTGAGTCCAAGTTTGAGATGGTTTTCTGCCTGGGCTGTCAGTTCCCCTCAAAGCAGGACAGCTGTTCCACCCAGAGCAGCTAATTGATCACTTGGGGAAACCAGGAGAGGGAGAATGAATGAATCTGGGCAAAGCAGAACAAAATGGCACAAGTGTTAAGAAATAAATACCTTGGACTTAGTTTCCTATGGCATTGACCACTGAATACAAACAACACTGTAGGGCCTCCTTGTGTGCAGGCAGCAGCAACTTTTTACATTATTATTGCAGAAGTTCAGGCTTACCAAGCAGGAAGCTGGTCATTGTGGTAGTCACAGATGCTACATTCTTCTCTGGAAATTTATCTGTTTTCATTTTATTTGAAAAGCAGAGAAGGCAGCGTGAAACAGAGCCAGAAAGAGACTTTTTATCTGCTGGGTCACTCCTCCGATGCCCACCATGGGGGCACAGCCAAGTAGGAACGGAGCTGAGAAGTCGGTCCGAGTCCCGCACAGGGGTGGGAAGAACCCAAGTGCTGCAGCCATCTCCTGTGTGCTCCCGGGGAGTGCCTTAGCAGAAAGCTGGTGAGGAGCAGAGCCAGAACTGAAACCCAGGCACCCTGGTATGGGATGCATACACCCCAAGGATCAATGTGACCGCTGACCACAATGCCTGCCCTGAAAACAGCACAGCCTTCTTGCCGTCTGCCATTTATGGGAGAGGGAACAGAGTGACGTCTGTATGTTATCAAGTGGAAGAGGCTCAAACACTCGGGCCATCTGTGCTGCCGTTTCCCTACCATTAGCCAGGGAACCGGACTGAGAGTGAACAGCCGGAACAAGAACCAGTATCCGTTTGGGAAGCTGGTGTCAGAGGTGACAGCTTTACTCACAGTGCCACGATACTGCTCCCTGTCACACAGCGTGCACCTCAATATCCCCACCAAAGCAGCCAGTTCCCTTTTTCTGCTTTCAATTCAGCTCCTGTCAGTGGTCCCAGGGAAGGGCTGCTTCAGGGCTGTGTCAGGCCACCCAGCACAGCCTTCCTTCAGAGTCAAAGAACATCACTCACACACATTGCCTAACACTGAAAGCCAGGGCAGCTGTCTTGCTTGGGGGGTAAAGTAGTTGAACGTGTAAGCAGCGTGTTCAAGGAAGGCACCCTGTCACATGAGCTAGCGTGAAGTAGAGCCACCATGGTGTGGGCACTCCGATGAAGCCGTTTACCAACCAGATGATCTTAGAGAAGTAACTTCCCTTGCTTAACTTTCCCTTTTTAGCAACCATAAAATGTGTCTAGCAGTATCTAAAGCAAAGAGCTGTCACAAATATCAAACCTGTATGAGTCTCTATGGGGAGCTCTCCAAAGCAGCACAGATACCCTCAACCTCAAGAAGCTGAGATTGATCTAATCATGTGCGATATGGCATGCTTGCCCTGGAAGTTCAGGAAGACCTCAGAGAAGGACTGAGGCAGGGGAGAAAAAGCACCAGAAACATGAAAAGCTACCCATCACCAAAAGCTGCCTGGGTGGAGGGTCCCAATTTGGTGGTTGCCGTCAGATGGTGAGTCACAGAGCGTGAAGACAGATGGCAGCAGTCAGACATGGGAACGTGGTCTATTCCAAAGAATACGGTGGGAAGCTTGAGAGCTGACTAGGATTTGGCTGAGTGGGACTCAGCCCAGCTACTGCTGTCAGGGGGCCAGTAGACCCAGGCATGCAGCAGGACTGATGGCCCAAGGGCACTGTCAGTTTCTGCAGAGCCTCACACAGGAGCAATGCTGTGCTGCATCAGCCAGTGAGGCCATTCCAGTCTGCAACCACCATCAACTGAGGCACAAAGGACAAGTAGCCCAGGCTTGCTGGTGGGTTTGGGAATCTGGGTCTACCAACTTCTCTCTTTTCCATCCTTTCAGTGAAGTCCGGCCCAACGCCACCGTGCAGTGGGAAGAAGTGTTTCGGCCTTGGGTCTCTGGCCCTCGAAAGCTGATAGCCAGCATGACCAGCGACTCCCTGAGACATGTGTACGGCGAGCTGGACTTGCAGATTCGACGCCAATCTTCTATGTAAAGGCACTAGAGGCTGAGTTGGACACTGGCGCTTGGCTAAGAAAATTCTAATGCAACAATAGTCAATCCATGCTTTAACTTAGGTTATGTGTAGACCCATTTGGGACTGAAGAGGGCCCCAGAGTGGCAATGACAATGATTTCAAATACCCAGCTACTGAGGTGGATGATGGTTTATAACCAGTCCCTCTCCAAAGCAGACTGAGCGTTGTCTTTAATTAAGCTCTAGTTAAGCTCCCAAAGCTCATAGCAGTCATCATTTATCATCACAAATGGCTGTGGCTGCAAGTGTCAGAGTGCTCCCCTCACCTTGTCTCAAACAAGACATCTGATTTCCCCATCAGTCTTTGGGGAGTGACATAGTCCCCAGAACGGGAGAGAAGCAAGGGACCTGGGCTGAGGATTCTGTTCCACTTTCTTGGACTGAGATGCTACCCTCTATGTCAGGATATTTTTCCCAGGAATTGAACAGAATGTCATTTTTCTTCTTGGCAAAGCTGCAGGAAGGTCTTTCATCTTACACCTGCACCCGAGTGACTGCCTGCCAAATGCCACAGCTTTACCTTGGGAGAAGATGGGGCCCCACGTTCACAAATTGCATTTGTGGAAAACTTGATCACCTAAGAGGAGATCAGAAAGCAGGTGCAACCCTCAGATCTATTAAATAATGTAGTTTTACGATGCATTTTATAAGAGGTGTCACACTGTAACCTGATCAGCAGGAACCAATATCCCTAATTTTAACTGTTTCTGGGGTACAGAAAGTGAAGAGGCTTCCGCGGCACTGGACAAGGGAGGAATCACATTCCTTCAGGAGCGAATGGCTTCACCTGTGTCTCTGGAAGGCCCTTCACCCCATCATCCTGGCCCAGGTCCCACTTTATAATAGAAAGTACCCAGATGTGTAACAGGAGGGCAGCCACTGGATAAGGCTCCCGGTGTTTATTTACAAGGCTGATTATGGTCACAAATTGCCATTGATATGCCTGGGGTATGACTTAGGTCAGTAGATGGCAATCCTCCATAAAAAAATACACAATGGTAATGGGATTTGCCCATGAGGGTCCCCCTCTGTGGTTATATCATGTTTTGGGTCATTAAGTCATCTCCTAGCACTTGCCAAGCCTTCAAATGCCCACACTTAAAATCAAAAGCATTTTACTACACTGGCTTAACATAGCACACTATTATTAACAAGGATGTAATAGATGCTTGAAATAAAATTATTCTGATTACTTGCATCTACACAGAGTGAATGGCTTTAATTTTCCACACAACTCAAGGGGGATCATGTCTGTTTAAGGAAGCCCGCCTCTCTTTGTCAGTTAGCCCCTGCCTGGATAGGAAGACAAGCATCTTGCATGGAAGAAAATCACTCTTTCAGGCATCAAGGCCATAGCTTTCCTTACCTGTTCTCCACGTTTTATTAACCATGTTCTCTGAAACAGGAATTTAACGCATTTCATCCAAAATTGAAAAAAAAAAAGTAGTGATTTTCTCATTGATAATCTTATTGACCATTATGGGGATTCAGTTGATAGTTGAGATGGCAACCACTCATAAGGAATGCCTGTGATAGTCTTAGAGCAGAGATGGGAAAACTTGGCCAACATGTACAAGAGATCCTTCATAGAATCAGCTTCATAGGATGAACAGCTGTAGCTCAGATGCAACTTCAGAATCATTCTCAACTCCTGGCAGCAATGGCCAACTGCTTTGGAGTTGATACTCAGGCCTCAGCCTGTCCACTGTGTCCACCTTGGAGCCAGCCCCTCTCCTTCTCAGCTGGGATGCCACACTGTGGCATGGCTGTGACTCTACAAGTCCTCTTTGAACAGGGATTGCAGACAATGTGTACTGCATGGGAGCAAAGATTGAGTTCTAGTTTTACCTTGCAATTCCTGATGCATCGGAATAAGTCCTTATTTGTGTTTCAAGCCTCAGTGACAAAAGAAAGACCCCAATGCTCAGGTTTTCACAGGGGTTTGCTAGGTGTATAGCAAACAAAACTTGACAATTAATGCAAAAATGATGGCTGAGCAGAAGATACACCTGGAAATGGAGATGGTGATGTGACAGGACAGAGATTGACAGATATAAAGATGATGGAGAGAAAAGGAGATACTATGTGCCTTTTATCCAAATAACTTTACCTCACCAACTTTGAAAAGGAAGGACCTACGAAGAACCTGCGAGGGGCCAGAAGTCACGAGCCACCGCAAATCAAACCAGGAGTGATATTGGGCAGTAAAGACAAACTCTCTTATTTCATTCTCAGAGTGTTAAAAGCGCTGACTTAGAATAACTTCAAGACTCTTTGAAGAGTTGCAATAATAACAAGCCAAAATGTATGCGAATTCATAACAGGAATGCGAATAGGAGACGTGGTGTCACAAATCGTCAGGTGGAAGATCACGGTTTTATGCACATCCGTCTGTTGTGACTGCAAAGCTAACAACTAAACATCCCAGTCACCCTCACACTCACCTTTCCCCTCAGGCAGCCTTCAACCATTCATCATTTTTCACATCCATCCAAGTATCAGGCTTCGTTCTAGAACCCAGGTGTTCAAATGCGAAACAGCCATGGCCAGAGTCAGCATCGTGGTGCAGCAGATCAAGACACCACCCTGAAGCTGGCATCCTGTAAGAATGGTTCAAGTCCCAGCTGCTCCACTTCTTTTCCATTTTATATTTATTTTTTTGAAAGTCAGATTTTTATTAAAGATTTGTTTATTTTTACTGAAAAGTGAGATATACAGAGAGGAAGAGACAGAAAGGGAGATCTTCTCTCTGTTGATTCACTCCCCAAGTGGCCACGATGGGTGGAGCTGTCAATCTGAAGCCGAGAGCTAGGAATTTCTTCCAGGTCTCCTACATAGGTGCAGGGTCCCAAGGCTTTGGGCAGTCCTCGACTGCTTTCTCAGGCCACAAGCAGGGAGCTGGATGGGAAGCAGAGCTGCCTGGATTCGAACCAGTGCCCATGAAGGATCCCAGTGTGTTCAAGGCAAGGACTTTAGCTACCAGGCTACCACACAGGGCTCTGAAAGTCAGATTTTACAGAAAGAGAAAGAGAGGGGGAGAGAGGGATAGAAAGAAAGAGACACACACAAAGAAAGGTCTTCCATCTGTTGGTTCACTCTCCACATGGCCACAACGGTCAGAGCCGAGCCAACTCGAAGCCAGGAACCAGAGCTTCTCTTGGTCTCTCATGCGGATGCCCAAGGACCAAAAGATTTTAAGAAGTAGCTGTTTTAAACTGTTGCCTTTGAGATAATTTGTCTTGCAGTAAAATATCAACAAAGGCTTGGCCTAAGGATCAGAGGGCAGCATACTCAGCAATGCTACTCTTTGGCTTACGGAAACATTCAGTATTTCTAAACCTCTTCTTTCTGAAGAATGGGTACAGATAAATCGTGTTTCTTTTTCTTCAGCAACTTCCGCATATTTCAAGAGACCTTACATGGACTCTCAAATGCAATAGCTTACATTTTGTTTCTTATTCAGCTAGGGTTTTCTGGCCTTTATGCTATCCTTGCCTGCACCGGAATTTGATTAGATGCCATCATGAGGCATATGCGGAAGATAAGGCACTGTGGGAAAGAAAGATTTTTTTCTTTCTCAGGAGCTTAGCAAGTGGGATCCTCCCCTTGGGAGCCTCAAAGAGATATCAGATCTCTGTCTGAACTCGCCTCGCCCGTATCCCGGAGCACTCAGGAATCGCCAGACTCTGCTCAGCAATCCACATTCCATTTTGTCCTTCTTGGACATTCAAATATGCCTTGATCTTCACCCAAGATTCCATGGTGGAGCTCTGTGTGAAACAAGCAGAGCAAAGTAGCTCATTTTTGCATTATGTATGCAGACTAAATGCTTGGAACCAAAGTTCTTCAGATTTCAGGGATTTTTTTTTCACATTTTAAAATATTTGCATATGCTTAATGAAGTTTCTTAAGGAGAGGACTCAAGTCTTCCACAAAATTCATCTATATTTCATGCACACCTGACACCCAGAGCCTAAAGGTAATTTATGCAACAGAGTTTAAAACTTTGTGCCTGAAACAAAGGCTTGTGGTGTGGAATTCTGCACCTGTGTGAACACGTTGGCACTCTTAAGTTTCAGAGTTTGAAGCTTCTTACCAAAAATTGAAAGAAATTGCAGTATCTGGATGATCCATTACAATGATTTCCTTTGCCAAAAAATGACCCACAGTCCTCGGTATCTGAAATAGAAACCATTTAGACAAGCATCTTCTTTTCTCCTTCCAGAGGCAGCTCTCTGTTTAAGTGCACACATTGAAAAGGACAAGTCCAAAATAAGCACTTGATGCATGAATGCATGACCCTCTCAGCCACCTAATGGAGTACAGATGAAGGCACTGTTTTGGTACTCTGTAGTTCCAGCTAGTCCTACAATATCGTTAACCCCCATGCCTCATCCTGCATTCTACCAGAATTCCAAAGCCCTTGATTCCAAGGCTTTATTGTTTCCTTTTTTGCAACTCTACTTTCTCAATATGAGCCAGACATTTCAGTTCGAATGCTATCAAAGGAAGTCAGAAACAAGATACTGATTATCTCAAAGCCAGCAGTGTAAAACAGCTGCTTCTTAAAATCTTTTGGTTTGGTTGGGGCAGGAATTTGGACAAGGCTTGCAAGATACCAAACTGAAACTTGACTCTTGAACAAAGCTCATTAGAGCATGCCCTGTTGTGTGTGGCAAAGCCTTGACATGAAGCATCCTGAATCATCCTAAACTGAATTATCCTAACCCAGTTTTCCCAACAAACCTACTTCCTATTTTCCCACACACAGCCAACACTTAAAAAGCATCAACAGTCCTAGTCGCTCTCCAGACCACTGCCGAGTTCACTTCGAGCAACTCTACAGACACGCTCAGATACCCAAAGCTCCTTTTGTGACTAAGATCGGCATCAGGGTGAGGCTGATTATAGAGATTCAGAAATGAAAATGTGGAAGAAAAAAGTCACTACTTGAATGTCTGTGTCATGATTAAGAACTGCATACTGATGCATCCCAGTTAAAGAGCAAACTGCTGCTCCAAGAAGGACGCCCCACCTCCGTGGATGGTGAGGCAGAAGCGACGCCCATCTGTCAGAAGCGCTTAGTGAACAGGGCTAAAGAAGGCAGGAGAATGGAAACGATGAACCTAACAGCACCTCCAAGTCTAAGGATCTGTTATTACACGATTCTGTACTTGAAGTAACACCTAGCATTTCCCCCCCATCAACACTTAAAACATGTACGATATCATTCAATCTTCCCTATAGCCAAGATGGTCATAATAGATTGTGTTTGCCAGGCATGTCCATAGACAAGAATTCTGTTACTTCACCCAGGTGAGAATTGGACTCCTAACTCCATCTTCATCAGTATGCCCTTTTCACCAACCACTGTAGCAGTTACAGACACTACACTCTTGGAGTTGCCAATATTGAAAGATGGTACCGGACTAGGCAAAGACAGAAAAGCTTCTCAATTTATTGTGTGGATTCCAGACTTCTTCTACAATATCTGGGATTTCGTTTTAATACTTTTTACTTAAATAAGGTAATTTCATATGTGCATATTTAATGACAGGTCCTACCCTGTCCTCCCTCCCACCCACATTCCCACTCATCTACTTGCTTTCTTTTATTTTAATGCTTCTAATGACATACTTTCTGCCTAATTTAGAATCACAAGCTTAGCCCTGCTCCAAAGGAAGAACTCACCAAGTTGTAAGCAGAAAAACTATATGATATTTACCTTTTTGGAACTGACTTATTTTACAAAGCGTAATGGTTTCCGGTTGCATCCATTTTGTTGCCAAGGCAGGATTTCACTCTTTTTCTGCAGTTGAGCAGTATGCCACAACGTGTCTGTTTGTGTACATATACACATGTGCTATATTTTTTATCCAGTCATCAGATGGTAGACATCTAGGTTAATCATAAATGTTAGCTATTGTGAGTTGAGCTACAATAAACATGGAAATATGGATAACTCTGTAACACACTGCTTTTACTTCTTTTAGCTAAAGTTCTGGGGCCTCATTTTTAGTGACAAGTGTCTCAATTAACAGCCCTGGGATGTTGGTAAAAGAGCAAGACAAATAAGGTTTGGAAGCAAAGATACATGGAGGACTTGGCAACTCATCATTCAAGCTTCAGCAATGATTGTTGCGTTTATTAATGGGGCTGAAATTGAAAGCTCAAGATGGCTTATGTATCAGCAGGATA